TCGCTCACCGTTCAACGAGCCGAGGATCAAAGCAAAAACAGAAGGCTCACTCTCGCGTCTTGCTCGCGATTTCCAGCTTGGTGAAATGCTCCACGATTTTCTGTGCCGTGATCGTTTGTTTCGTAGCGAGGACGAGGCTTTCAAAGAACGTCGTACGCGCGCTTATATTACGTGTACTTGTCGCTCGAACACCGCCGCTCTTTTTCGTCATCCTTCCTCCTTTCTTTCTTTCCTTTGTTTCTGTTCATCGTCGTCGTTCGACGCCTGTGTACTTTTATTTGTACCAACAACAATAGTTTTAGATATTTAGTATAATTATAATAATAATAATAATAATAATAATATCTATTAAATATCTTTCTTAATTTTTCCGATGCGTTTATAGCGTGTCTTCATTTTTGGCTGTGAATATACATCTAGTCTCAAATAATACTTTTCTACTAATGATAGAGAATAAGCATTGTATTTTATATAGAGAAAGTATCCAAGTATTTTTTATCTAAATATTCACGAATGTAAGATTCGTCTTTTGATAAAAATATCTTTGAATATGAGAAAAATTTTTTCAAACAGCTAGTAGACTCAAATCGAACGCTATATATTTAGGAAATGTTCACTTTAGCCAACAAGTGAAATACTCGACATTTTTCTTTTCTAGTTGTCTGTAGAAAATACATTAATACATGTGCACACTGTCGTTCAAAACTGTCTCTAATTAATTACGCAAATTAATTGTCGTTAGACCTGAATGTCCCACGTCTCTCGTACTTCCTTTCGACTCGTCTCGTTTGTTTCTCCAAGTTTTATCAACGTCCGCCGCCGCTCCGTGTTTATACGCGCAATTCTCTCGCGGCTTTTCCCAGAGCCGTTTCCTCTTTTGCGTTTCTTGGCCTGTTTTTCGGCCCCGCGAACGTATAAATCGATGGTAGATAAGGTTAATGTACCGAAAGCGCTCGATCGCGTCGTTAAAATCACGTTTCGTTCGAACGCCATTTGGAAACACGTCGCGGAATTGCGCTTGCAGCAGCGTTTTCATTGTTATCGCGATTCTATGGCCCTTTATACAAGGATTCGCCTGTTATTGTTCTTTCTCCTTTTGCGGAATAGTCGCGTTTAAACGGTATGAATAAAAGGTGCTTTTTTTGTTCTCTTTCTTTCTTTTCTTTTTTTTTTTTTGGTTTTCTTCTCTTTTTCTCTCATACGATTTACACCGCGCTAGAATCTGCCCTAGATTCCCACGGTTGAACGACGATTTTGTTCCTTTTCCTCTTCTTTCTTCCTCTTTCAAGATTTGCATTGAAATTCGATGGACGTCGCCAACGTCGCCAGAATTAACCTTCTCGGTGATCGTGACTCCACGCGACACGCGTGATCGATTTGGGTGGACACGATCGGGACGGATCGGGAGGGGAAATGGGGAAAATGAAAGGAGTAGATACACGAGTCATCGTCCTTTAATTTTCCCTCCCGGTCTGGGAGAAACGGGACCCGTGTCCCGGACCTGTTCGATTACTTTGCCCTCCCCCCCTTCCCCCGTCCAACCCCTTACGTGTTTGCAATCTCCTACGTGAAATCTTTCGAATCTCTCTTTACCTCAGGACTGTGGAATCTCTCGGACGTTGGCTTTCTCCACTGCGACACTGACTCTTGACCACGGGAAAATTAAATCGGTTTCTTTCCTATTTGACTATCGTCGGATGAAAGCTTGCAGTTGAGCGGAACGTACCGATGATGCCGATCGCTCGTGGCTTCGTGACTTCCGGCACTCGTGCCACGGCGGTCTACGTTTGGAGAAGATTCTCGTTCGAAATTGAATTTTTCGTTTCTGCTCTTTTAATTGATCCACGACTGAAATCGCGTGACCCTTTGAGTATGACACTATTGTATCATAGTTCTTTCACCACTCATTTCGTGTATACTTTTCTTTGTCGTAACTTTTCAACGATACTTCCAAAACTTCCGACATTTGTATAACACATTCTAAAATACTTTCGTATTTGAAAAACGTGTTTGATCTCTTTTTAACAGAACGTCAATCGTTTTGTAGTATTAGATAATCAGAATCGCGTTTTCGCTCAATCGTTGGTATAAACACGTAACACGCGTCCGGCGTGGCTTCGACGGAGCTCTCGTAGGAGATCCCACACGAAGAGAGGAGAAAGTCCAGCGCTCGACCGCGGACAATCGGAAAGCCGACGGCGACGACGACGACGCTGGAGGGAAGTGGACTTCTCGATCCACGGCTCGTCTTGTGTCTCGAGTCTGGAAAGTAGGGCGAGCCACGCCTAACAGTGACTCGTTCTTTCAGATGCATGCAGCGTGCACGTTCGTACTCTTTGGCCGAACGGTCTCTCGTTCGTGTTGCGCCGCACTTTTCCATGCTTCTCGACCGATCCTCTGGGAAACGAACGGTGTACGTAGCGTGGTTCTCCATTTCCGCGAAATTTACGAGCGTGCTGCGAGGGGCTATCGTCGAGTCTCGCTCGCGAGCTTGTTTCTTTCGCGTTTCAAATCTGGCACGGGATTAGAATGCGTGCGATTTATCGCGTGTCGATCCCGGGGCTGGTTGCCACGCTGTCGAAAACGAGGAATATGACCGTTTATCTCGCGCTGGCGGGGGCCCTCGATCGTTCTTGTTTCGGGGTTCGACACGCGGTTAAATTCAATTTGAGACTTTACATTGCGCTCGCATGGAGAAATCTGATTATACTAATGGCATTTTGTGTACCGGAGGGGAGTTATAAAAAACGGGTTATCGATTCGGCGACCGATGATCGCAGCGAATTTCGCGGGATTCGAAACGTTTGAAACACTTTCCGGATCGTGCACTTTTATAATAATTTTGTATGTTTAATGTCTCGGTAGGTTTCGAGGCTTGAAAATGTCGATTTCGATGCATTTCGCGGGGAATTTTAACACACAAAATTGCGCTCAATGCAATTCATGGAAACACGAAAAAAAAGATATTCATACGCGACGGAAATGTTTCAAACGAGGTTCTATTTTTTTCCTTTTTTGTTATATTTATGTGTTAAAAGAAAATTGTAATACGGAAAATTCTTTTGTGATGATTTTTTCCTACTATTTTTGATTATAAGTTTATCAGAAATTGTTGTACTTGAATTTCATTGCTTATAATAGCCTTTGGTAGGAATTGTGTGATAAGAACATTTTGTTATAAAAAAAAAACATCTCTATGTGAATTTTCATGTTACTTTGCGAATGATAATAAAAATATTTTCATTAGACTACGCATGGATCTCTGTTTAGATCAGAGAATATTATCAGCCGCAACGATAACGTACATTTTTAACATACAAATACCTGTAACTTATAAAGAATCAACACGTGATAAATATTAAAGCAAGGAATCCACAGTGTACAACTTGTTGGTTAAAAAAATGAAACCTCGATTTATGCTCGATGTTATGACTCGAATCCCTCCAAAGTGTCACAGACTTCAGCGTCACCGTTGACAATCTCAAAAAAAATAGCGCCGAATTCAAAGACACGACAGAGCTGGCAGACACGCTGGTCGGAAGAAGCTGTTGAAGGAAAACGGAACTAACAATAAGCTGTTTCAACAGAAAATCTTTATTGGACATGGAATTCGTGTGCATAGATGTTCATCCGATTTGCCACCTAATCGCGAATGTATTCGAAGCGTCGTCGGCTGCTGCAAAAGCTGCAGGACAAATAGAAGCTCGAGCTTGGCGACCTCTCTGCATAATGCATACCATCATCGTCGTCGTCGTCGTCGTCGTCGTCTTGTTCATCGTCGTTTGCCGCGCTCGCGGTCCTTCACCGTTCCTTCGTTAGCCTTTTATCTCGGGCCTGCTGCCTTCATCCTCCTCGCCCGTTCCCTTTCTTCCTTCCTTCCTTCCTTTCCCTGCCTTTCTCTTCCTTCCTCCTTGCTTGCGCCGTTGTCTCGCCTGCCGCCATTTGCGCTGCCTCCGCTGTGCGAGAAGTCGCGCGTGTATAAACCCTCCCCGCGAGAACGAGAACAAAGATACTCGTGTTTCAACCACCTTGATGGCTAACGCCATCCCCCTTGTTAAGAACTGGCGAGATTTTAAGAAATGTCTGCAGTTTCAACGCGACCACGCGCGAAACTTTCTCGCACGGCGAGACGACGACGACGACGACGACGACGACGACGACGACGGCAAGCAAACTAGGTGTGCGTGCTCCTCGGTCGTTGAAATATCACAGGGCGACGTGTTCTTCGACCGATTCTTCGGGATGGAGTTATTCGTTGTTACTCCGTGATCGTTTTCTGATTCGACGAACGGTCGTTCCTTTCTCTCTTCTCTAACCGCTTGCCTTACGATTTTTTTTCTTTCGGCGAACATTAATTAACGTGTCGCATTCGAAAGCATCTTCAGTTTGAAAAATTGAAATCGTAGGTATAATTTCTACCACGAGTGCCACTAATTCAAATATGTTACAACTCAAAGTGTCAGTTGTATCAAGAGCCAGAATAATTTGAAATTAAATTAATTAGTTTTCGAATTTTTGATTTTGTTTAGTGTTGCTCAGTATGTAAATACGATGGTAATAATTGTAACAAAATGTGTGTATAACAAATCAGTATACGTAGAAATTCGACGAATAAAATTGTTCCAAAAAAGGATTACTCGCGCAGTTGCTGCCTTTTGACCGGGTTCTTCAAATTCATCGCTGGCTAATATTTCTGATGCATTCCCGTTAACGTTGTTCTACGTACTTACCGTGGATGCGCGCAACTAGCAATAAGTAGCACATTTAGGTAACTTCTTCTTTCAAGTTCCTCCCGTAGCAATAAAGCGTCGAGGGACCTAGATTTCAACGGAGCTAGGTAGAATAGCAGTAGAGCGTTGCTGCTTTGAAGTTGCATGATTAAATATTTATTATATTCCCCCCCTCCGGTGATAGTATTACCCTCTTCACGGCCATTATGCTCGTTTCTTTGTTCAAGTGAGAATGATTCGATTCTATTTTCGTTTTCTTTCTATTTTCAGGAATGACGATCGGAGCGGCGATGACGAGGATTGAAAGTTACCGCTGATTCGTAGGATACACCCTGCAGGGCCACTCGCTACCAAAATGAGCACATCCCTGCGAATTTTGGCGCTGATCAGTTTAGCTGCGCAGAACGTGGCTTGGCCGCAAGATCCTGTTCCTAGGCTCTACGTCAAACATCGTGAGTAACTTTGCTTGCGTGAATTGTAGATAGCGTAGAATTCGAGTGACATCGAAATTGAGCCCCTCGGTTGACGAGTGACGAAATCAATAGTAATCGAAGCAATGAAATTTATTAAAGAGAGATAGTAATTGAAGGAGGCAGCTCCATTTTAGTGATCATCTAATAGTCTGTGTTAATAAATTTTCGTTAAACTGTCAACTTATTTTTACATACAATGGAAGATGTGGATAAAAAGCTTCCTTCTTCGGTCATTAGGAATGCTTGTTTTAACTTTAAGATTACATTTCAATTTACATTGTAAATAAATAACTGTACCTGACTGTTCTTAGTTTCGTACTGGAAGAGATCGTAACGTTTCCTTTCAAGTTCTGTCGTCGTAATTATTATTTTTCCACTTTATCTTTTTACAATGAAGTTGCATTTTATTTTTAATTTGCTGTGCGTTGCAATTTTTCGAATGCTTGAAAATTCACTTAAGTTCACCGTGTCAAATGAGGGCCTCAGTTATGCTTTAGCATTAATTTAGAGCGAAAGTTCTGCTCGTACGTCTTTTAATTTGAAGATGGCAAGCGCCAGTAATGTTAATGATTCTCTAAAAATTCTCATATATATTATAATATCTTGGGTGACATCAGTTACTCGGGAAATTATTCGTCGTCAACACGTTATCACGTGAAATTGATACGATTTACACCTGTGGAATGGAATATTTAATTTCTAGAAAATATTATGTTACAATAAAATTGCAGTGAAAGTGTATTTTATGATATTATCTAGTTATTTATATTGTATCTATAAATTTTCTGTCCGCGATTAATTCATTTTACAATAACAACGTAAAAGGAGAAAAAATGTATACGTATTGATGATATAAAATGTATCACGTGCAAAATAATTGTAACATAACAAATAAGCTTAAAAGTAAATCATTCATTCATTCATTTGATAAATAACGGGCATCCTAAAAAAAAAAAAAAAAAAAAAAAAAAAAAAAAAAAAAAAAAAAAAAAAAAATGTTAAAGGAAATTGATAAATTAAAAAAGTCTTTGTATAGTTGATTTTAAAGAATCTTTAAATATTAAAAAGTCAATTTTTAAATAAAATTAATTAATTGTCACTCGCTAAATAAAGATTGGGATCATCCTAAAATATTTATAGCAAGAGAAACGTCAGTTATTGGTAACGTTGTGGTAGTTAAGGTGTCGAATAAACGAAATAAATGTTTCTTAATTTATATGTTAGAGAATTTATCCGAGCCGTAAATATTTGAGTGATCGTTTCGTATTTTTAGCATTGCAAAAATACATACGGCAACGTCGATTTAGATTATAAAGTCTAATTGCACCCATTTGGCTTTTGACAATTTAACAAAAATCCTGCTGTTTTATACAGTGGCTCTCGTGCGTGTGTGATATGAATATTACATGGAACATTTTGAGATTTAATTAGCACCGTAATGACGCGCGACTGGCAAGAATTTAAATAGTAATAATAATCCGAAAGTACGTATAAAAGTTTCAAAGTATTCACTGCAAACGTGTAGCTACAATTAGCAAAATTCATACACGTTGTAAATATACAATAGTAGCGGCAAAAATAGTGATCACGTATGCCGAGAGTTATTAATGGACTACGTACGAACTTTCACGTTGTGGAAATTGCAACTGAACAGAGAGTCGTTTCACTCGAATATATTTGCACTAGAAACATTTTGCAGCCGCTACATTTCGATATATAATTGAACTTTTAATGAAACTTTAAAAAGTGTGGGAATTTATTCGTGAAAGATATCGACGACTGTGCAATAAAAGATTTCGCGAACCACTGTACAAAAGTCAGTTCAACCGACACGAACGCCCAAATTAAATGCTGTTAAAAATGAAAAAAGGATCGAAAGCCATTTCCACAGAAGCATTTCGATCGTCATTTTAACGCATAATGTATCCCTGAATTTTCGGGTTCATCGCCTTTGCGTGCGAAAATCGAATGAAACGAAGCCGCACCACTCACCGATCTATTTTACACATGTATCGAATTATCAAATTGGTCGTGGCCGACGTTCGCGGATATACGGGTGCCGGCATTAAATCAGGATTAATCAAATTAATCGATCAAAAGGTCCATGGCCAAGTGGCATCCACATTTTACGCGACTACGCTTCGCGCATTCCTTTTACGTCATTAACTGCGACGACTGAAATGATTTGCCACGCGCCGCTCTCTTTTTCGGTCGTGTTTTCATCAGAGCAAATGCAATTGCAAATGCAAAAAGTCGCCGGTTTCGTTTAGATACGAAACGAAAACGCAGGAATCTTCGTTCGGAGTGGTTTTGCTCGTGGGATTCGTTTCGTTCGCTCGCCACGACGCGCGGATAGATTATCGGGAACAATAAAGCACGTCTCGTGGTAACAATGTGCTAACGGAATTAAAGCGACGATATAAAAGTATAAAAAAGGATTAACGGAGCATCAAAGACTAACAATAAGTCACGTAGGTAATAGTCAAGTGAATTTTGATTGAATTTCAAAAACAGAAAAATAGTAAACCAATACATTTATATATATATATGTATATATATGTATATTTGTACCAAACATTTTGTGCTACGTTTCGTACATACGTTTCCAAAATCGTTTCGCTATGATTACCATACAATTGCCAATGAAACTTGAAAAATGTAGAAATACAGCAGATGAGGAAGCCTCATTTTGGGCGAGAACGCGCGGGGAAATTCGTATAATGCCTCGTTATCTTGAAAAGTGGTCTCCCGTGGAATTCGTTTCGCTTGATTACTATGACGCGCGGACAGATTATCGGGAACAATAAGGCACGTTTCACGGCGGCGGGTCCGACGGAAAAGTTTCGAGCCCGATTCATCCCCGTGGTCTCTTTTGTTCCGCCTATCATCCAGACTCGGCGGAATCTAATCTCTCTTTCTCTCTCTCTCTCTCTCTCTCTCTCTCGTGCGCGCGCGTGAACCGTAGAAGGGACCAGAAACGGTATTACGATAACCGGCTGGAATTGATAGTAATGAAATCACGGCTCGCGATCGTTCGTTGGCGTTTCGTTTCGTTCGGAAGCTAATTTTCCACGTTATCTTCATCCCGCGTTCGTGTCATAGTCTCTCTCTCTCTCTCTCTCTCTCTTTTCCTCTCTCTGTCAATGCTCTCGAGCACGGATGCTATTTGCACGGTAGCTTACCGGGAACAATAACGCGCCGTTCCGCGGCAATTCGCCGATAAGAAAAAGTTAGTTCACTCTCCGGGGCCTCGGCACCTTGCGACGCCGACGGTCTTTTCACCCGGGGATCTTTTCACACGGTGAAAATTTCATTTCCTTCGCGCGAGATAGAGAGAAACGGTGCACGGGATCTGACGTTAACGCAGAAGAAACGCGCGTCCAGTTACGATTCTCAGTGAAACGATCTGAGGAGGGAAGCGAGAAGTTGGCTGTCCCACGAATTGAAAGTTTCGGTTATGCTTCACCTTGAAAGTGAACGACGAAGGGTTGGAGAACAAGGGCGGAGACAGGCCGAGAGGAAAGGAATCGTGTATTTTCCGCATGAAAAAGTTGTTTCTTTTCGCTTGTATTATATTCAGAATATTATTAAGATTTTTCGATTGCAGCGAGCTAAGAGCAAATAATTTTAAACTTGTAATACAACGAGAATATTTGAAACACATGTCACTGATTGTAATTGCACAATATTTTCTTCGCGCGTGATAAACTATCGGGCTGTGCGATAAATTCGTTTGCCTGTTGGTGTTACGTTTTCGAAGATGTGTAAAAGTATGTATTATAGAAAGTTTCAGTGGGTGCATAATCCATCCGCATTGAACATAGATAGAATAATGGTGTGGACAATTGTAAATAGAAAGAAAAGGGACACTAAAAATCTTTTAAATATGAAACTGAAAATATTTAAGATATTCAGAATCATTTATTATTACGGAAAATATGAGTTTATTGAAATATTCACTGTACTATTAACATTGAAATGTTAATCATTTCAATACAAGAAAGCTGCTTCTTACAGGTAATAATAGCGTTCAAAGAACGTAGAAACACATATTATATGCATGTTTTTGATAATAACAAACTTCAAAGTTATTTAATTCATTTGTAAAGAATAATCATCCATATAATAATTGATGGCGCGAACAAACTTATCGCACGATCAAATAATAACGAACACCAACCACTAACTAGATATTATGGAAAATACGCGCTCAGTGACGATTTTCAATGAAACGATACAAGTAGAGGAGCCAGTCAAAGGTTGTCGCCCTGTGAATCGAGAACGCTTCGGTTATGCTTTACCTTGAAGATGGTTGACGAAGAAGGGTTAGACATAAAGGTGGGAAATGGGACGAGACAGGGTGAGAGGAATTCTGTATTGAATATGTATACATCCTCGTTCAAAAGTCTTGGAACAAGACTGCTATATCTGTTTCGAGTAATTGATAAAATAAGAAAAAACATTACATTCGTAATCATCGAAATGTATTTTTCGATTTTTCGAGATTGTTTCCATTGAAGGAACAACAGTGATATTACACAAGATTATAAATAACAAGTGAAGTATACGATAATACGATTTTATTTTATATTTTCCGAATGTGAAGTCCTGGACCTCAAAATAATTTAGCCTCTTCTCGGAACGTATCAACAATTATCTTCATTTTAGTGTTATAATATATATGTAGCTTGACATTAAGGCTTTTATTTTTCTGATCTTTCTCTAGTCCTCAGACGAAAATCACCGATCTCAAGTTACGATTTCTCTTTCGTCACGAGAATATTCTTTATTAAATAATTTTTATTACAATACTTAAGAAAAATTATATTATATTAAAAATGATTATTTATAATATTTTAAAATTTAAGAAGCGAGTGATTTAATGCGTGTCGTGTAAACTCAGAGTTTAATAGTAACATCTACGATCAAAATGATTTTTCGCTTCGATGGTTCAGATAAAGTTAACAAAGGGTATCATA